GCATGCTTTCATGAAGTGCTTCAGAGGAGCACAATCAACAGTAGTGAGATGATCTTCCTTCCGATACACGGTGGATCAAATGGGAGGGGAGTTAGTTTTCTTTTAGATACGGAGGGGCGCCTTTCAGGCATCTGCGTGCAATGGTTTCAAATCATGGATGATAGGCTGTGGCGTCTCCTTGAAGATAGTGGGTGCATCTGTGTGAGTGAGCTTCGAGTTCATTTTGCAACCCCTTGGCACCTGGCTTGTTCAGTGGATAGCTTGGAGGATGCGACTGTCCTGGCTGAACAGGTTATGCCCAAGGCTCTATCTGCTGAGCACAAGAGGATTGGTGGGCATGTTTGGAAGTGGATTTCAGATAACACCGATCTCTTGAGTCGGGTGCAAGCCCGGCTACGTTCCAAGGCTACGAGAATCGAAGCATCTGCTGGTAGTAAGGTCTCTCCTGGGGAGGTCTTCGATCAACTCATGAGCGGGAGCCTCGAACTCTGCAAGCAGACTAGTCGTGCTCATTCGAGGTGGATCTCAGGCGGAGCCGGGACTCCGGTTGAGGCGGAGAAGGCTGCAAAGAAGTTCTGGGGCACCGTCTTGGTGCAGATTATGGTAGAGGCCCGGCTTCCCATCGTTGAGATTCCAGTTGAAAGTGAGGAACAGCGGGTCATGTATGCTCTCCGTGCGCTGGGTGCCCGGCGCTCTAAGACTTTGAGGAACCGGGCGAGGACCTGGCGCAAGGCTCGCGATTGGATGCAGTCCGTTAAGGGTTATGTTTTCCCGCGCTCTCCTGCGGATGTGGTGGATTACCTTATCTTCCTGGAGCAGGAGTCTGGCACCAAGAGTTGCATCACCGAGTTTATGAGTGCTCTATCTGTCTTGGAGGATGCAGGACAGGTCCCGGTCTCAAGCCAGCTCTGCAAGAATCGCTTGGTGGTGGCGGCCTCCAAGGGTTCGACGGCAGAAGTTCAGCAGGGGAAAACCTGTAGGAAGCAGGCTCCCCCGCTTTCAGTGGCGATGCTGGTTTCATTGGAAATTTTCGTGGCTTCAAGTGACAACCCCATGTATGCAAGATGCATTATTTGGGCTTGCCTTTTTTGCGTCTGGGGATGCATGCGTGTCTCTGATCTGCAAGGCATCGATGTTTCTAGGCTTAGGCTTTTTCGTGACGGCCTTAAGGGTTTCTTGGTGAAAACCAAAACCACCGGAGCTGATAAGAAGGTCGCCGAGGTCCCGTTCTTTGTGGGGCGGGACATAGGGTTGTCAGGATGCGATTGGCTGCTCACCGGGTTCAACCTTTGGAAAGGACTCGGGCAGCAGGACCGTACCTTCTTGGTTTTCCAGTCTTCTGCTGATTTCGAGGAACCCTTTTTCAAGTTCGCCAAGCCGGAAGTCATCAGCAATTATATGCGTTTGATTTGGCGCCAACTGAAGGTTCCTTTCAAGAAGCTAGGGGAACCGGCCTGGAAACCGCGCACCGAAAGGGATCTGCTGGGGACTGAGTGCTATCTCTTTTGGTCTGGTCACAGCATGCGCCATGTGTTACCGACGATTGCAGCGGTCTTTGGGGTTCCGAAGGAGCAACGTGATTACCTGGGTCGTTGGCATGTGGGTTTGCACCAAAGCTCTGACTATATTCATACCTGCCGCCAGATTGTTCACGACATTCAGCGTCGAGTGTGTGATAAGTTGTCTGGTGGCAAGCCTGGGTATGATGAGGAAGAGCTGTTTGAGGATTTCGGGGCTTGGTTGCGCGAACGAGGCCTCGATCCCGAGCCCTGGGTAAAGCGTCATGCCATTTTGCGAACGGTGAATGGCTGCAAGGTACTCAATCAGACGTGGCCGTTGCTGAGGGAGTTCGCGGACCGGCCAGACGATTCTGTCCCGGCCCCACCTGCTTCGAATACGAGTCAGGACGAGAAAGAATCGCCCTTTTGGATTAGCATCAGCAGGCACTCAGGACATCGTAGACTTCACATCAGGAACGGCTGCTGGGTTACACCCGGTAGCTGCCACAGGTTCGCTGAAGTTTGGGAGGTCGATGCCTCAGTCGCTGATAGCTTTTGCAAGCTTTGTTACAAGAACAAAGAGGGCTCGTCGTCGAGCTCGGGGGAGTCTTCCTCCACAGATCTGGGTGAGCCTGCTGAAAGTGGCGATCTGGTCATGCCGACCTTCGGCATGGGACCATGAGATTCCAGCTCCGATCGGATTAAAATCAGGGTGCGATACCGCATCACTTTCAGTTGCTTGTCAGTACAGTGCTCTGGGCACGCTTTTCAGTGACATCACAGTCCGCGCGATCCGCTCTCTGCTCAGAAGTTCACTGTCAGTCTTTCAGAGGAGCGCAGTCAGCATTCACATGCCTTTCAGCTCCCCAGTGGGGTGTCAGCTCTCATTGCAAAGGACTTTCAGTTGTCAGTCTTTCAGACTCCAACCCCACTGGCTTTGTTAGGCTTCAATAGGATCGGGTGTGTGTGCCTCAGATCATGGACCCGGCAGCTCAGCGCCGGTACCTGAAGCATAATGTTGATGCAGACTTCGTTTTTCTGCTTGAGGAGCATGGCGTGGAGCTTGCTTTGCAGTATGCCATAGGACAGCATTACAAGAGCATTCGCACCTTCGCTGCTTTCACGGATGACAGAGCGGGGGCACGCACGGCCATTACGGCCGACTTCGGGGTCAGGCCTGACAGTGCTGCTGATCGTGCAAAGATTGCTACTGTCATCACTGCTTGGGAAGCCTCGAAGCTGATTCGTGAAGAAGAGGCCAAGTTACGGGCTGAGGCCAAGGTCATGGGGGTTTAGAAACATTTGGTTTGTGAGACAGGGCGGCCATGCGCATCGCCTTGGAAACTGTTCGAGGCTACTCTGTTCCAGAATCTGAAGAGCCTGCGCCTGAGTATTTGGCACACAAATTAGAGCAGATTGAGAATGGGGAGCCCACCGCGAGTTACCTGGATGAGGTCATTTCTCGTAAGGAGTCAAACTCTTTGCAACTGCAAACTTCTTTAGATAATCAGGGCCGTCTTCGTGTGATGCGTCAGAAGCCGAAGGGGCGGCTGCCACAGAACACAGAGGAGCTCCGGGGGAAGCTTCGCTTGGAGGCTGCGACATGGGTCATGCTTTCGGCTAAATGCCGGGGGCGTGCTTATCTTCAGGATGTGCAGCTTGCTCATTTTGATCGTTACCTGGAGGTTCTTCTTGGTGATAAATGCTACAGCATGCAAGTGGCGACCTCGGCCCCTACCAGTTCTGCTGCTCACGCTGAACGGCAGGCGCTGAATGTTCCGTGGAATGTTTTGCTGCAGTACGAATTTGAACTTCGCAAGTGGGCCATCAAGGAGGCGCATCGCGAGGGGGTTTCTCTTGGGGACAAGCTATATGATGCTACCAGGAATACGGAGCTCAAAGAGCTCCACTTCACCAGTCAGATTGCTCTCGCCAAAAGATCTGCTGCGGTTGATCCCCCTCCTCCCAACAAGTGGCAGCGAAAGGGCAAGGGCGATAAAGGCGACAAAGGTGGCAAGGACGGCAAGGGAAATCCCAAGGGGAAGACAGATGGCAAAATCAAGATCGGGGAGGCCTGGTTCGACTTGGTCTCCAAGACTCCGGATGGTCGTGAACTTTGCTATGCTTTTAACATTAAGCGTGGATGTCAGGTGAAGGGCTGTCAGAGGGTTCACGCATGCCGCATCAAGGGCTGCCAGGGCAGTCATCCGGCGTATCAGCATGGTGCACATGGTGGGTCCTGACTTCGGCCCGCGCCTACGAATTCGATAGTTGATTCGACCTCGGGGCTCCGCCCGTCTCTTCGCGTGCTCTACCTGTTCTCAGGTCCTTCACGCAAGTCTGATGTGCGGCACTCCTTAGGCGAGCTCTGCAAGGAACGCGATATCACCCTGGAGATGTTCGAAGTGGACATTTGCCGGGATCCGAGCATGGATCTTTTGGACTCTTCAGTCGCCGAACGGTGTCTGCGAGAGATTGAAAACTCAGAGTGGGATGTAGTCTTGGTGACCCCTCCTTGCAGTACCTTTTCACGCGCGCGCTGCGTGCAGCCTGGACCTCGGCCTCTGAGATCGCGTCTTTACCCACTGGGTTTTCCATGGTTATCTGATGCACATCGTACAGTGGTCGAGCAGGGCAATGAGTTTGTTTCTTTTTCATTCCGCATCTGCACAGCCGCACTTTCGAATTCAATTCCTTTCTTGCTGGAACATCCAGAAGACCTGGGGACAACGTCTGCCGGGCACACGCCCGCCTCCATCTGGCAGCTCCCGGAGGCCTTGGCTCTTTTCACGCATGAGTCTGTGGTGACCTTTTCAGTGTATCAATGTCAGTACGGAGCCGCCTCGCCGAAGCCAACACGTTTTCTCTCGTCCATACGCTCACTTTTTGGCATGTCACATGTGGGTCCGCCGCGATTTGATGCAACTGGCCGCTACCTCGGCCCGCTTCCCCGCTATTGTGGACATCGCCACAAGGAACGATTGCTTGGCTCGGCATCAACCGCGGCTTCGGCCGCCTACCCTGCAGGACTCTGCGCAGAAATGGCGACCTGGATCTTCTCCGTCTTCGATGGGGGGGGTTCTTCTTCTTCGGGGCTTAGGGAGGGCTCGTTTTCGGGCTTCGTCTTTTCTTTCCCTCCTAGGTCCTTTTCGGTTTCCCCCGCGCAACACCCTGCTGAACTGCTCGCTTGCGATTGCCTTAAGAAAGGTCAGGCTTCTCAGGATCAGATTCTTCGGCTGTCCGAGCTTTTACCGGATGAGGACAGGGTTCGTCAATCTGAGGAGGCAGTGCAACAGAGCTGGGCTCAGGCGCAACGTGGATGCTTTTCCCTTCGTTACAGAGCTCTTGGCGAGGTTGGTGGCCCACAACTTTCCAGGACGGGTATTCTCTTCGACTGCTCTCTTCAGGGACCTAAAGCAACCATTGCACAAAGACACCACAAATGGGCACTACGACAATCTGCTACTTTCTTGTTCGGATTTCAGCGGTGGTGGCCTTTGGGTTCAATCGAGCAATGGTGACACGGAACGAGACGTCAATGGGACCTCGATGCCTGGAAAGATTCTTGCCTGGGAGGACCGCAAAATTATCTTTGACCCCCATGGTTGGCACTCGACTGAGGACTGGAGCGGCTGTAGGCTGGTTCTGGCGGCCTATACCATTGGCAACGATGGGCTGCTATCTCAGTGCGATCGAGAGAGACTTTCGGGCTTGGGATTCTTTCTGCCGGGGCAAGGAAAGCGGGGTCCTCCTTCTTCAGAAGAAAACCAGGATGACGACGCGGCGACACCGCACGTGGAACCTGCGCAGTTGGACCCGGCTCACTCCGGGGGATCGGCTGCGGACTCGACTGCGGGGGATCTGGCGTTCAGTGAGTTGGAGTCCGGATGTGAGGGCCCACCGATGGTTGGCGACTTCGCAGGTGCTACAGATGAGTTCGTAGATGGATTCGGACGCTGCTCACCTGGTAGGTGGAAACCTTCGTGCCGGGGGCGATGCTTATCACCTGCTGCGGTCTCCTTCGCTAGAAACCTTCGGGATAAAGTTAGTGACATTTCACCGCAGGTGACAATCACCTTATTTTTCCCTAACACAAAATTTCAAGAACCTTTGGTTTTGAAATAATGCCTTTTGAAAGTTTCTCATGTTTTTCATGACACTCATGATTTTTCATGTTGAATTTTCTTACCATGTTTCTCTTCGAGTGCTGGGCTCGGCAGCTGAGAAGAAAATTTGGGGACTTGAGTCCGTACAGAGGCAAGCTCCGAGGCCTTCATTCTAGACGGCTAGGGTGGGGCCATGGCAAGCTCAGGATCTGATGATGCTTCTCACGAGCTTGCAGCTGTCGAGTCCCCTACGCGTTGTGCAGAAGCTACTGTGTTTGGCCTGTCGCTGCGAGAATCCCTGTTGGTCAGTTCGATCCCGGGGATGGAAGAGCGACTCACTCAGGCTCTTTCTGAATCAGCAGCGCTTCAGCACAGCATGCTTCTTGTTCGAGATGCGGTGGCAGAACTGCAGGGAGAAACCGTCGCTCTCCGGAGCGATGTACGCGAGGTGCGTCAACGTGTGCAGCTCCTGGAAAGCAGGATGGATAATGTGGAGGACCACAACGGCAAGATGCTTCAGCTGCTCAAAGGCCAAGCTGAAGCCCTGGATGCTCAGACTACCAGGCTGTCTCTTGCTAGTGAGGCTGTAGCGCGTCTAGCTGATGGCCGTGTTGATCAGGCTCTTGCTAGGACCCTCCGCAGTCGGTCGCCTATTCCGGGTACTCCGGAGTGAGCTGCCATGCTCTGCCTACTGCTTCGCATGCTGTTGCACTTCGTTTTGCATTTTGAGACCAGGCATCCTTGAAGGTGGCGTGGTGTACAGGTGCTCGAAGCTCTTTCCGTGGCAGGACCTCCTACTGATGAAAACTGTGTCTTGCAGTGCCACGCGCCACACTCATGTCTCTCTCTCTTGTCAGTGCTGTCGGAGAGCATTTTCTGCATGGTGCACTGCTGTGATGTTTCTGTCCGAGCAGTCTTGCTGTTGCCATGTCTGCTAGTGCCTCGGGGACAGAAGAGTCTTCGACTGAGCCTCCGCTCGTCTACGTGCTTGGGGATTGCAGCATCTGCGAAACTCTCGGCAGTTTCTTGACTGCTGCTGACTTGTATTCCTTAAGCTGTGCTCACTGGTGGCTCTCCGCAGACTTGCAGTGGTACCTGCAGGGAGCCGTGGACACTCCCAGCTCTCTGGGGGACGCAGACGCGCCTGTGCCGGCAGGGTGAGATGGAGCGCTCTGGCTTTCGCTCTTCAGCAGCCGAGCGCTCCCGCTCGCGGGATCAGCCACGCCAGCCTGCTCATGCTCCTCCTGTTCTCCAGGGCTCTTTCAGGTCGCGAGCTTGGGCGCTGGAGCAAGATTTGGAGGCGCTCCGCAGTGATTTCGAGATCCTGCGTTTGGGGAGCACTCATGTCATGACTGTTTTGGGCCATGAGCCTGATTACAGTGCTCCTTTTTCGGCGCTGGCGGAGTTCGTCTTGCATGTGCAGGCTCAGCTCCGCAGTTTCAGTGCTCGTCTTTCTGAGTTGCAGCGCATTTCTGCTGAGCAGCAAGTGTTGGCTCACTCTCGATTGGAGCGCCTTGAAGCTGAGGCGGCGGCTCGCAATCCTGATTTTTTCTCCTCGATTCAGCGTTAGGATCAGGCCTGCCGCTGTTTTCAAGGCTCCAGTTCTCGACCAGTTGCATCATACTTTCGGTGCTGAGCTTAAAATCACTTGCTGTCTTCTGGCGCTGCGTTTGCAAGTTCATTGCGTCCGCCTGGCCTGCAGTCTGCATGCACTCGCAGGTTGGCTGTCCTTCATGCTTCAAGTAGCACGTTTTTTCTCGGCATGGAGGACGTAGTGGATGAGGAGCTCCGTCTGCTAGAGCACCATGCTGCTGATCCTGTTGTTGAGGGGGGTGGTCTCGGTGATCAGCCAGATTCGGATGTCTGGAACTTGCTGTCGGAGGCTGCCTTGCAGGAGCGGCCTCCACTTGATTTGCTTGAGAATGATTCTGAGGGTAGTGCTGCAGAGATGAACTGGTATCGACAGGCCCAACAGGACTCGGCCTCGGTGCACTCCACTATCGTTCATAGAGACTCTGATCATTGGAGTTTTGTGGAGTCGGGCTCCTCTGCAAATCAGGGCCTTTCCAATGTCGCTGTA